TATATATTTTTTCATTTGGCGTTAAATAAATTAAGTCCAACCAATAAAAGAGGATCAAATGCCACGTTTTGTTAAATTTCAGGAATCACAGACTCCAACTTCGAAAACTATTTGAATATTAAAGGAGCAGTATGATAAATTTCCACTATCAAAACTGTCATAAATCACACCTGAAATTAATTCTAAAATATGCTTTTTACGTCTATGTATCTTCTTGATCAAACTGAATTTGTTTTATAACGTCTAAATAAATACGAAGACTAATTATTGTTTATTAAGCAGCTTGAACTAGTTCTGGTGTTCGGCTTTATAAAGGCTCGACGTTTTTTGTTGAAACCTTCAGAATAAGTACGAGACATATTTCTCCACAATTTTCCACTAATCATGCCTATATCATACGCTGAGATGATCTTTTTGTATAAACAATACTTATTGACATAATACGATTGGGAAACAGGCTCTATATAGAGTAGTTATCTTACACTTTCCAAAAAGTTATAACGAACTTAATACGTAATGTTTTGAAAAGCAAAAACAATTCGACCAACAAAAATAGCGGAATACACCTTTAGCCATCATACACAACATTGTATTTGCTTCATTGAACACTGAATGGCTTTGCCCGTATACAATATCCCAAACAAGTGCAGAGAGGCAGGTCGTTAACCTTAAACTACATTTCATTTTGGAACGAGTCATGTTCACATTTCACAGACACCGTTAGTAAACCAAGAAGAGTGTTTGGTAAACGTTGTTGACAATCGACTCAAACAAAACAAACAAACTTTTGGGGAATTCGTCTAATATTAGGATGGTGTAAATAAACAAAGCAATCTTGTTAAAATCATGTATAGGGCAGTATTTAACTAAACCTTATCGAACAAGTAATATTGACATCCTTATTTCGACTTAAACATTCTTGAATGTAACTTATTAAGCAATATGTCTATTGTGATTTCGGCGATACAAATTGTGCAAAATACTACCTCTTAGAATGGACATAACATTCTAAGTTTCAAACTTGGTCAACATTGGTCATCAGTTCCAGATGCCACGACCAAAGAATAGAACCACGCTTCTAATGAAGTATTATTTAGTTTTATGGATTTATTGGATTATAGAGGGGTTTTTTGTATAGTGATACTGAAAATTTACATCTCCAAAATAAGGCTTCATTAACTTATTCCATCTCCTTCATTCATCTATCAATCCTTTATCTGTCTGTTTCCAACACTCTATTGGCCCCTGTATTTCATCATTGTTTTATTAATTGTTTCATCCATTGTTATTAGATTAGCTTCATTGATGTACTGTTATGACCTGCTTTACGGCTTCGTGGCTTCCCTCTTTTTTGCTGTATATTCCCATGTTTACTCCCTCTTTCTCCATTTCATTTGATGACAACACGTGTTAATTGTGTTGAAACGTTATGTACTTTGTTTTTAAAGAAGTGTGTTATACCATAATATAGTCCCTTGTTGTTTCTGTTATATACGTTATGATTATATATACACGAATCTATAACAGTTGACGTTAAATTGAGGGTATTTGTGAAGAAGTTTTGTATATTTTTATGTTTATCAATTAATTCGCACCATTAATCCCAAAGTATGCTTTAAGACCCTTCGCGATTAGTTTAAAAAAGCTGCATACTATTTCAAACTAGAATCATATTCACATACTAGACACGACTATAGACACATTAGTTTGTATAATAAAACCAAAGTCTAAAGCCCCATCAACACAATCATACATATGTTCAAAACATCATACATTTGTTTGACAATGTCCAAGCTTGTTTTGGATTTCTGTTTGTCTGTGTATGCAGAAAAAATACAATTTTTTTGGAGTGGATGCTCAAAACATTCTGCTTGAGCTGCTACATCAGTTATGATTTTGATAATTCTTCGTCGACCAAGGCCAATGGACCTGAGACTGGATCCAAAGAAGAGGTCAGCGTGGCGCTTATCAGGCCTTATTGATTTACAGTTGACAGGCCAGGCGAGCTTTAGAAGTTTTTAAGTATAGATGTATCTTTCTTCATAGACTATTAGCAAATGTGGTCAGGGCTGTAACTGGGGCCTTTTTTCTATGAGTTAAAAATTATGTTGCCTTTCATTACCAGATAAACCACCTTTACCGAAGACGTCGAGTAAGCGATGTATTTAGTGGATATTATATTAATATTTTTCAATTTTTTCATTCCATTTATATAACTCTTATTCCTTATCAAATTTGGCATGAGGCACTTGCCTTGATAAAGTTACGGCTCTGGTGGTACCATGAATTGTAAATATTCAGTAATGATCGATGTATCGTATTCACTATTCACACTTGATCCGTGTCGGATGCTATTTTGAAAGCAAAACCTATCCTTTTCTTAACTAAGATTAGCATTGCTAAGAACATAAATACATTATACACTTGAATGTTACACAACCTCTTAACACCTGTGTCACTTATGCATCAATTTCATTTTGAAAGTTTCTGTTTATTTATGAATCAACCATCGTATCATGTAGATCAATATTTCGTTAAGGTAAACTTTACAATGAGATGCAAATAATTATTTTTCGCCAATTTCATTGCTAAATTTCCTCCTCATGTTGCAACTTAGACATAATATACCACATAATAATATTATTGGGCCAACGAGCCCTTATAGCACTGAATGACTCAGAAAAGGGAGTGGACAAATAAACCATCATTTGAACTGACAATTGGAGTTCCTTTTTGGCCTTTATTGTGTTTAGCATGAGTAGCAAGCATTTTGCGAAAAAACTATCTCAACAACACGGTACAGAAATTTACTATAAATGGCAAGTTAGCTGTCACTTGTCTGAAGACCACAGCGTTTATCTCGATATGTATACATAAGTTCTACTTGTCTAACTTCAATGGGGACACAGGCTGAAAGTAGGTCAGATGTTTGAAGATCACATAGCGTGAAACTTTAATGTAACAAAATGTTTTAAGTTCAGGTTTAATATTTCTGAATAGTGATTTAAGTTTTTTGTAACCAAAGCTGTTTTTTTCACACTCCCGTCATCTATTACCTGTATTTAGTGATTTCCAACACATTATGAAGTGAAGACGGTGTCGCGAATGTCGCAAGAGTCTCAAATACCTAGCCTTTGTCTCCCCTAAATTTTCAAGGACAGTCTTATTAACAATTTATCGCAACCATTGACATCAATCATAACTAAATGAGACTGAATAAGGATTAATCTAGCTCGAAGCGACCAGTTTGTCTCACATGTCCATAATTAATTCATAATTAGTTAATTTAGAAGAGAATTACCTGCAGGATTCCTATGAGTGACCGATCAAGAAAGGTCAAAAGTCTGTTTTTGTTCATTCAGACTAAACATACATGGACATTTATGATTTGTTAAAATTCTTAATTATATGCATTAAGAACATGGTGCTATGATTAAGAATACATGGTAATTCATTAGAAACACTAATTAATCAAATAGTGCTTAATTTGACACTAAAAAATAAGGAAACCCATCTTTAACACGACTAAAAAATAGAATCTCTACTTAAGGTGATGTATCCATTAAACTAAATCATTATTGAAACATGCTTTGAAACATGCTTAGATTGGCTTGTAAATAGAGACTTAAGTTTGAAATCTTTTGGGTTCGAGTGGCAATATTTTGAAAGGAAGTTTACTCTTAAATCCTGTAGTACTGGACAGACAAGTATGAAATGGTATCTGTTTCTACCTGTTTATAATTACAAATATTGCATAATCTAGCATGAAATGGAATGTTCTGATGTCTTCCAAGTTCTATATTTAACTTGTGCTTTGAGCATCTAAAATTAGCCAGATGAAAAATGAAGGATTTAGACAAATTTGAGTTTGACATACAAATTCATTTTTGATAATGGAATACTACTGACATTTGGTAGAAGTGGTGATATCTGATGGCCAAGATTGAAGACAGCTGTCTTTAATTATGAATTATTTTATATTACCCACTCCATGTGAAAACCATACATCCCCAAAACTATGCGTTAATAGTATATTTTTAACAGAAGTACACCATTTGATTCTACCTATCTCACTCTGGTTACATAGCATATTATAACATAGTTTTGGTAATCTGTGATTTCCCATTTCTTGGATTTTCAAACATTATTTAATAGGTCTACAAAAATAGTTAATATAAAGCTCATACCTCCCACATTCCCCTCTGATCATGGTGTTGGTGGTTTTTTGTCCTGTGTATAGAAGCCATTTGCAAAATTTAGTTTGTACACTTTCAATCTCTGCGTTCATTTCGAGCCCCCAGATCTCAGAACCATAATACAATATGGGACCTATCATTGAGTGAAATAGTTTGAATGCAACTTTAATATTTCGCGTTCCTGTATTAGATAATCATTTAACACTTTCGTGGTCTGTTGGGATAAATATGAACAATTAAAATCCTTATTAAAGTTAATAGTCTAAAGATTGAAACTTGTCAATTTTCTGCTCCACACCAGAGCTACAGAGCTCGTGATGGGCGTGGCACATCCGGGTTATATTACTCACTATTGACATTTTTGGCCAGAGGTATCACTCGCAAAGAATACATTTGTTCAAAATGGAACTTTGCATACAGATACGTCATCCTTTGAGCCAGTTGTTTCAGCTTCATAATTAAAAAAAGGAACAGTTTCTGGAAATTCAATATTTTCAATTTTTGACCCTGATCTTTGATGACCTTGAACTTTATTGGGCCAAAGGTCATTGACCTTGGCTATCAGTTGATGCTTTCATATTTGACCTCTGACGTATACTTCCGGTTTTATAACTGTCAGAAACCAGCCAAAGTTTTTAGAGCTTATCTGAATCTCGTTAAGAGAAAAGCACCAGATGATAAAGGAATTATGTATCCTTACAACGATGGAAAAGAATTGAACATGGATGAAAACTACGAATTTGATGATTTCGATTATCTAACTATTCAAGAAGATAATATAGAGTGTTTAATTACAGAATAAATTTAGTTCTTTTGTTTTAAATGAAGTTGAATAACAATTTCTTCGTTACCAAAATCTATAAACCTATTTTTACCATCTTTGATTTCCAGATTTATATCTTTAATAAAGGAATTAAGTGGTAAATATGTTGTTTGAAATGGTTTCTCTATAATTCTATATCCAATCGGAACAGTGAATGTTGGAATACGTTTGTATTTATTAAAAAATCCACCGTTTATTAAATTACAGTGAATATTAATGACGTCAATATCATTTTCGATATTAGCTTTGTGTGGTGCTAAAGTGGAATGGGTGTATACTCGTTTATCAAATCCTAGTAACGTATTCAATGAATTTTCTACGTTGAAATCAACTTGACTATTATTTCTCAATATCAATTTTATTTTGTTCAGATTCAAATTACCTTCGAATCCAATATTGTTTCTACCATTTAGACTTCCTCCATATTCAGAAAGATAATCGTTAATGGCTACGTATTCGTAGCTTCCTGGTAGTAAACTTATGGTTTTGAATGTAACTCCATTATCGGATAAAAACGTTATACCTGTCCACTGTCTTGTCTTGTCTAGCTACCATATATTCGAAATCGTCTATTTCTTGTGTAATTGAATTGCCTTCAGCATAATCATCTGATACCTCATCTTCATATTCATCGTCTGCTTCATCAACTTCATATTCATCAGGAATAACCTTTTTTTATATATATGTTTCAACTGTTTTCGATCGATTTGTTTCGGGTCCCGACTTTCTAATTGCATGTAGAAATATTGAGTATGCTATTAAATCCTTGTAATCGGCAATATCAAAGTCCCCGCCATTCATTAAATCTATTAACCCTTTTGTTAATGTAAATATTAAGTCTTTTGTATCGAATTTGAATATAGGGGAATTTGACTTAAATTTAATTCTAAATCCATTTAACAACAAACCATCATCATCAACGATTGGTGTAATGCTCTTTGGTAAATCTGCTTTAGGGTTTGAAAAAAGACTATTAATATCATCTAATGACCTAATTATAATACCATCATATTGATTCGGTTCTGGGTGATCTTTATGAGGTTCTATAGGAGGTCTATATTCTAAAGCTAATTTCTTTTTAATATCCTCTTGAGATTTTAATATTGGTTGACATATAGTTTGTAGATTTTCTGTTAATCCAAGTTGTTGTAATTTATTATTTTCAACTTGGGACTTTATTTTATTCTTAGCTTTGATATATTCTTTATTTCTTTTAAAAATATTATTCCAATCGCTACTCATTTTTTAAAAAAATAAAATTAAAATATGTCGATCATAACTGGTTTTCTAGTATTAACAAATACATATCCATGATCATCTGGGTTTCTCCATTGAGCTTTACAAACTTTGTTGAATGTATCTCTGTCCATTCCGTGATTTATAGATTGAATGATTTGAGATAAATCTTTGTCGTTTAATTCGAATAATAAAAAACAATTTGCATTTTTTCTAATGAACATAGAATCCATCCCATAAAAAGATTGAGATTGGTATATGCAGTGACAGTTGTGATGTCTTCCTTTCGTGAAGAATTCTTGTTGAACAGCTTGATTTCTTTGTGCTACACAGTCGTCAAACAATATTAAGTTCTTTCGACTGCTATCAACATTAGACAAGTCTAGATCATTAACATTTTTCGTAAGAAAAACTTTAATGTCCGTTGGATAGAAAGATGGAATCTTTGCTTTAATGTAGTTATCTATGATATCTTTTATTTCCACTTCTTCTTCTTCGTTTCTTAATAATATTGAAATATGTCTTGAACATCATTCTTTGGTAAATATTCTAAAGGTTTGAGGAATTGATAATATGATTGCTCTGGTGTTGTTGTGTAGATACAGAGAGAATTGAAATCTAAAAGGTTTGGTGTTGTCAACATGTTAAAAGTGAGATGAGTTTTCCCAGAGCCGGAACTTATAATAACAAATACACAAAAGCATTGGGCTACTAGGAAATATTTCTGAATGTTTGAATTTCTTCCCCATTTTTTATTCTATATTTTTGTTCCAAAAATCACTCCTTCTCCTTTATACTTTGAAAGAAATAATCCTTCTCCTGTGTGAATGTTTTTTAAAAATATTCCATTACCCTTATGTTTGACTTTCATTTCTCCTTTCTCCATTTTGTCTATGATAGTGTTTAATCCTTCTTTAACAGTTTTCTTAGTTTCTTCTCTAAATCGTTTTCCAAATTCTTTAACTGTACCTAATATATCTGCCACTCCTAAACCTTTTTTTTCCATTACTAATTTTATGTCTACGTTGTTCAGCATTTCTATCATCATCTGCTTTCTTTTCGTTGGCAGCTTTTACTGCAGCAGCTGTACCATCAGCTATTGCACCCACCGCGCTAAGACCAGCAAATATCAAAGGTAGGAAAGGTAAAAATCCACCATCTTTTGCATTTGTGTCAATTCTTTCTAAGTCTATATCATCTCTGACTTTACAATATTTGTATTTATCAATAAGTTTTTTAGTTATGTTGATTTTTTTACCATTATAAGTTATTGTAGTTGGTGAAGCTGTTTCTATAGCTTCTATTATTTTCTTGACTAAAGTTTCTGGTTTCATTTTTAAAGGTGTATTTCTTACTCAATTCTTATCATTCTTCTATCTGCTATTTTAATTAAATGATTTGCTTCTTCCAATAATAAACAATAACCTGTTACATCTCCTTGTGTTTCAATATTCAATATGAATATTTATGTTTACTCCCGTTTTGAAAAGATCTTCTTGATGAGCTGAAAGATCAAAACAGAAGATTGGATGATTGAGTGCAAAATCTACATATTCAAACTGATGTAGATTTCTAAATAATTCACACGTATTTTTATAGTTTCTATACAATTCATTATAATCCTTTGTGGTTGGATTAATTGTTAAAGGTTGGTTAGGATAATTATCGTTGTTTAATCTTACTTGAACTTTATGGATTACAAGGATTTTGAGTTTGGTTCATTGCCACTTTAAAGATATTATTGTTATTCGTTTGAGAATCTGGTAAGTTCTTGAAACCAACCATTAAATATTTTGCTGGTTTAATAGTATTGGTGATTGGCCATGTGGTGGATTCTCCAGTTAAAGTCATGCTACCTACCGTATTACGACGAAGGAAAGCTATTTCAATATCTTTAGTTAACGAGTTGAATATTCTCGTTTCTTCTTCAATTGATGGTGTTATTACGGGTATGAAAAGTTGGAGATTCGTTATTTCTAATTTTGCATCTGAACCATTCTCTCCAAAGAATATCTTATCATCGTTGATTTCTCTTTGTAGATGAATTTTATATGATAACCCTATGGGAATTTTTTTTTATGTTCCAACAGACCGAATAAAGGATATAATTTCCAATTTACGTAATTACCCCACCTATTATTCTCAACAACATTATTATACTGAAGTACTCGTTTTTCGAATCCATGATTAGCTGCTCGTGCTACTCTTTCTATTGTGTTTCGAGCAACAACTCTAGCTAAATCAGCACCATTTGCTACATTTCTTACCGGTTCCTTTACAACACTTCCATCGCCAACATCGGGTATCCAACCTGAGACTTAATCGAAGTCTTTAGGATATAAAACTGTTTTCAACATTATATCGAATTCCCCAGGGTGTTTAATTGTTTCTATCGGATTTGAACCAGCTTCCAAAACCATCTCGCTAAATAAAGATGGAAAGAAATTGTTTTCTAACGTTGTATTAGTTTGTGGTACACGATTTTCATTGGGAGTTCCATCTTTAATTTTGAAATCACATCTGAAATAAGAATCGGAAAGAAGTAACCAATTTGATAATGAATTTATTTCGAAGGTAATTCTACCACCATCATTCAACTGGGATTTAGAACCAACAGTGGGTGAGATGATAATATAATCCTCTTTTTTTTGATAAATGAGTAACGAATTGGATCGTATAATTTAAAGATTGGATCAAGTATTTTATTTGCCATTTTTAAGGTTTAAAATTTGAGTAGAAATTGTGGTCTGTTTTCCAAATGAAAAATGAAGGGTATATAGGTCTTTTTTTTGGGTGGGGGTTGATGGAATGTGGGGTGTGTAGGACTTTTTTTGGAATTTATGGAATGAGGGTGTTTAGGACTTGTTGGGGGAGCTTTCTTATAGAATGCACCTTCCTCATGGAATGAAATGGAATGGGGAATCCCCGTGCATTCTATATGGAAGCTCTATGACTACTTGCGGTTATATGAAGGATTTTCTGTTGATTTCCCACAGCAAAGTTCGTTGATTATCTATTGAATTTTTGAGGAGACAATAAATATTGATCAGGCTTCCATGTGACATATTGGAAAGTTTTCAAAGAGATTTCTGGAAAAAGTTTAAGAAGGTTGAATTTCGCGATTTAACATGGAAGCAGATGGCAAAAGAATTACTGGAGCATGCTTATTCTCAAGGGAAATAACTCATAATTAAAATTAAGAAGAATCAGAGCTCCAATCATACTGTCTGTGTCTTTTGTATATCGAACACACTTCATAAAAAAAATTCAACTAAAAGGGAAGCTTTTCCGCTGTAAAATTAGAATAACTTATGCATGATCATGTATGACGCAGTGGGGGACTAGCCTAAAACTAGTCTTGATCGGTTGATTGTTGCGTTCTGCAAAAAGCCAGTTCGGTGTTTTGCTTTGCGCAAGCGCGTACATTTTCAAGAGAGCTTACGGAACTCCCAACTTGCTTATTATTGACGTTTCTGTTTGCAAGTTCCTTAATGACTCAAAATAATAACTACTTCACAATTATGTCTCTGGACACTTCCGGCGCGAATTGGGAGGCCAAGGTCGAGGTCACCAGTATGCTTATTCATCAACTTTCCGAAAACAAACTCGCAAGTAATTTTAAAGCCAAATTGAAACAAAATTGCCGTGGGAAGCGAGTTTTTGCATGTTTTGCCAGAAATATGTTTTCACCACATATAAAGCACATATATTCTGTTAGATTTGAAATGATCTCTAGTCAGTCCCAAAATATAGCTGTACAATTAACAAAGCCTATTGATATTTCTGAAGTTAGTATGGTTCATGCATTTAAATGCTTATATTTTCTTGCAAAGAACAATTTGCACATACCACAAACTCCCCAAAGTTGTTGAATCTAGAGAAGCATCTGAGAGTTGATATCACATCTAAGATAAACGCAGGAGAAATGATGATGTCAGTACAGGTGACACAATACATAGAGGTCAATAATTTGCCTTATTCTACGCAAACGAAGCAGTGGAGCACACTGTGCTGTGCATAAACTAAGCTTGGCAGCTAACAAGCTGGAGATGAATTTCCTGTCATCCCTTCATACTTTATTTTATTCGAGAAGTGCAGTGCGTGAAAAAGAGGTCAGCCATTCGAGATTTACTTTTCAAAAGAAAGGAGGGAGAGGAAAGTGGCAAACTCAATAATCCTTCCTAAACAAGATGACCATGTCTCGCAGTCAAACTAAAGAACATCAGCATTGTAGTAAGTTTGGAACGTGAAGCAGAGGAACGTGCTGGTATAACGACAGCTGGACTGGTCAAGTTTATCACGAAAATAGAAACTTTTCTTCTTTGTGAAGTAATACACAGTGTAAATCTGCGAAGTTTGGCTTTCCAGGAATCAAACTTTGATTTTAAAGCATTGGATGCTGCGTTGACTGCTACCATTACAAATTTCTGTAGCACAATCAAGACGCCATTTATAGAAAACCATTGAATCAAGATTTAATGACGTGGATATCATGGCAGCCTTCTCATACATTTTCGACAATGGCAGCTGTGTAATCAAATTCAGTACCCCCTGCCACAACTGCTAGTGAAATGAAAGATGTAATTTGTTATATGCAGTCAGACAGCGACTTTCTTGCAAAAATTACATATTATTCAGTATCAACCCTGCACAGAACAACATTCCCAGCACTTTGCAAATTATAAATAAAATGGATTTTAAGGATAAGTGTTGAATTCCCCCACTAGAGGAATTACGCCTTTCTTAAAATTAGCCAAGTCGGTTGATTGAAATATTTTATTGTCTTATAATTATGAATTGTATTTTGAATTCCATGTTAAAATGAAATTTAAGACAAGACATTTTCACTCGTTAATGCACTGTTTATTGACATGTGGAATTTCATACAAAAATAAGTGTATATTTTTATCTGTATATTTTTATCTTATGTGATATATCCCACAAAAAATCTCCATAAGGTCCGTTTCCCCTTGACCCAACCAAAGACCCTCGGATCCCGCCGGGAA